CCCCTTGGTCCCTGTACCTGGTTCTCCGTCGTTACCTCTGTCAAGGCTTTCCTACGATTCTAGGGAACACTCCTGCAAAACTGTCCTATGCACGAAGTCATTTCTACGTCATTTGGTTACGTCCTTTTCCGCCTCGTGGATCACATCCTCAGCAGACGCACTCAATTGCTGCACTGCACCTCATGCTCCACCTCACGTTGCATTTCCTCCACTTCCTCACTCCACAACCGACCACGCCTACGTCCATCCTGGCGGTTCTGATCTGTCATGTGGTCCTCGCCTCGGAATGTCACTTCTTGGTATTCCGGCAGTCCTACGCCGCACACATCAGCGCTATGTGATCATAACCATCACACAGTCTACAAGTTCTACGTTGGCCAGCGTAAGTTACGAGTTTTTGTGCCCAAAATTCATTAAGAACCTACAAGGTATAGGTTCCCTCGAGTCACTTTATTTTTAAAACTCCCTTCCCGGAAACCCACATAAGCCCTGCCGTCCTTTTGCCTTGTTGAGCTACGTGTACATTTCCCCAAATTTCCCCGAACACACTACGTGGGGGCAGCTTCTTTGCCTCAAAAAGGCACTTTACGTAATTTTACAAGTAAATTGACCGAAACTTCGACCATCTTTCCCAGGATCCCCTCGTTAACCCGTAGAAAACACCCTGTTTTGGCAAGTAGATCCTTACAGTGTGATACGAGTTTCAGAACATTCGGTAGTTTTCCATTTAAGGCTACACCGTAAAGGTCGCAACCCTAATCCTAGTTCTAAAAATCAGGGGCAAAAACGTAAACCCCGAATCTTGTTTGATTGTACCTCTCAGTAATTCTATCCCGCTTTTAAATTTCTGCGTCTACCCCAACCCCCTTGTGACAGCGGTAAACTTGCGCCTGTCAGAGGGGAGTACAAACGTCCCCCCCCGGCAGGGGGCGGGGAAGTATACGACTTTTAAATGAGATCGGGAGTATTGTTATTATGGTTACTTGTGGAAGTCGTTGTCACATCTCACTTTTGTTTATTTATTTATGGGGGGTGTATTTTCTTATTTAATGTTTTGCATGTGTTTATTATATAATTTGAAAAAATACATGGATGGATTAATGAAAATGTGAAATATTAACGTAATATACGACATTTAAATGACTCGATGTATGTAAGTTTATTTAGGTACAGGTATACATAAGTTAATTATCAGAGTATATATAAAATATGAAATAACTTTTAAAAACATTTGAAATTTTGGAGTTTCCAGACAAAATGGAGAGACTTAGTGCTTACTGAGCTCATGGAGAATGTAAACAAACAGGGTGGCACGGTGACCGTATTAGAAATCAGGTGGGGGAGCCGTTATAGTGAGTTTTGGTCATAATTTAAAATGTCCGTATTAGCGGAACGCCGTAAAGTGAAACGCCGTAAAGCGGGGCCTTCCTGTATATCTTTTCTAGTTTATTTATTTATTTATTTAAAAATTTGAGCACACATACAGAGGTACAAAAAATACAGATAAGAGCAGCATGCCAAAGCCACTTATACATGCATAGCATTACGGGCTGGTTTAAAAATTTAAATTAAGATGAACTAAGCAATGATGACATCAGTGATAAAACTTTAATGTAAAAGATTACTTAAAGCACAAGTGAGTATTACAAAGACAGGTCATATGGTTGTATGCATTGTTGTACATTCAGTAAATGGAGTATTCTGTTAGGTAGTGTATTTAAAAAATAAAAAAAGTTAGATTGGGTTTAGGTTTAAAAATTATGTAAATATAATTGTGAGAAACTTTAAGATAAAAACAATTTAAGGTTCATTATTCAGAAATTTTTTTGGGGTTTTGGGTGAGTAAGTGATCTTTGGAAGAGACTTTGAATTTATAAACAGTAGTGTTTCTTTTATATTTACAGGTATGAGTTCCAGTTTTAGGGCCTTTTATGTCCCATGAGTTTTTGCATTGTGAGATGGACACGAGAACATCAAAGAGTGATCTGTGCCTTGTGTTATGGTCATGTGTTCTTTTGAGTTGGCAAGGAGATGTTTGGGGGGAGGGTTAATATCAGAGTTAGTGTTCTATGTATGTAATAAGGTGCAGTAAATAAGTATGAATGTTTTGTATGGTGAATAGGTTTAGTGTATTGAATATTTGGGGGAGTGTGCTGCCTATAGTGAGAATTTGTTATCATTCAAAACTGCAGCCTTTTGTTGGGAAAATTAGTGGTCTGAGATGGTTACTTGTTGTTGAGCCCCATGCAAAAATTTTCCATAGGTGAGATAGGGGTAAATAAGAGAGTGATATAGGGCCAGGAGGGCTGACTGTGGAGCATGTACCGTATCTTCGATAGTATGCCTACAGTCTTGGAAATTTTTTAGAAATTTTTTGTATATGTGAAATAAAAATTTGAGTCTATTATAAAAGGTGGATTCCCTAAGAATTTTCCCTTTTTAGCTTTGTGATAGGTGATCCGTTTATCATTATGTTAAGAGGGACATCTGTAGCTCTGTTACCAAACTGAATGAAGTAAGTTTTGTCAATTGTTTAGTGTAAGTTTGTTAGTCCTCATCCAGGTAGATATTTTCGTAATTCGGTATTTACAGTATTGGCTAGCGTGACTGGGCTCGGTGGGAGAAGACGTATGTAGTGTCATCTGCAAATAGTGTGGTTTTGAGAAATTGCGAAGCATTTGGTAGGCCCTTTATGTATAGGAGAAAAAAAGGAGGGCCAAGGACCACCTTCCCTGGGGGACACCAACTGTAATTGGTTTTTGCAGGAAGAGTTTGCCCCATTTGCAGACACATATTGGCTTCTGTTGTGAGGTTTGACTTGAGGGAGTGCCCTCTAATACCATAGTGTGACAATTTTACGTGGAGCAAGTCATGGTTAACTGTACCCAAAAGCTTTACGTAAGTCAATGAAGATCCCCAGTGGGACTTCTTTTTTCCCCTATTGCAGTGTATATATGTTCTAGATGTGAATAATAGCATCATTAGTATTTTTATTTGGCCTGAACCCAAATTGGCAGGGGTTGAGTATTTTTGGGAGATAAGGTAGGAGTAGATTCGTTTATGAATTAATTTTTCGAAGATTTTTGAGAGAGGGTGTAAGTTGGATATTGGCCTATAGTTATTCAACTTTTTTGGTCTCCTCCTTTGGGGATCGGGGTGACCCTTGCTATTTTGAGTACTGTAGGGAAGGTGGAGGATTCAATGGATTTGTTAAAGAGTGTTGCAATGTTTGGGTGATAGCACTTGTGACACTTTTTTGTATATAAAGGGTGGTAAGGTATTTAATCTCCTGCCTTGTTTTTTAGCGTGTTGATAAAAGGGGAGACTTCGTATGGGTTAGTCGGAGCTAGGAACAGGTGTTCGGGTAGTTCCCAGTGAGGTAGTCATTTGGTGGGGTATTGAGCTTGGGATTTTAAATTGGAAAGGGTTTTTTGTGGAGAAGAAGTCATTGAGTCTGCTGTTTCTGTTGGTGGGAGTTGGGGTTCATCTGATTTTGCTAATTTTATTTCGCTATTTCGTGATATCATTTTTGTTCCTAAAATTTTCTGATAGGGTTTTCCAGGTCTTTTTATATCATCTCGTAAGTTGGATAATCTGTTCTCATAATACAATTTTTTTGCCCTTCTTATCAGGCTGGTTAGGATTGACGAGTAACTTTTTGTTTGGTCTCTGGTTATGTGACCCATTCTGTACTTTTTTTTCATATTGGTGTTTTGTATTTATGTTTTGGGAAATGCTGGGTTTAACCGGGACTGTTCAGCCCTCTTAGCTGTCATCTGTTTAGTTTTTTTAGGGCAGTGCTTGTTATAGGGGTTTTGGGGTCTTTTTTAGAAAATTATTAATACATTCGTCAATATCTGTATAGATTTCTAGCTCAGTGTGCCAGTCAATGTTTGCTACTGCTGTTGTGAAGTTATTAATGGCTGCCTCATTGTGAAGTCTGAAGGTGACTTAGTAGTGTCTTGGGGTAATTTACCAAGAGTTGTTATGGAAAAGTAGGTAGTGGTCTGTGGTATTATCTGTAATTATGCCTGTTTTTAAAGGGGATATGGTGTTGGTCCAGATGTGGTCAAGTAGGGAAACACTAGTCTCTGTACTCTTGTGGGTTTTTGTTACTGTTGGTAGCAACATACATTACTCATTGGTTTGTGAATTCAGTAACGTGTGGGTCCTGGTCTTGCAGGAGATTTATATTGAAGTCACCTGAGAGTAGTAAGTGATCTTTGTTCATGCGTGCATCAGTTATCATACTTCCTAGGTTTTGACTAAATTGGCTAATGTTTGACTGTGGAACTCTGTAAATGTTTATCAATGTGAGAGGTTTTTGTAGGTATTTGGATTTGAATTTGGCTATTATATATTCCCCATGTTCATGGCATAACCTGGGGTCCTGTCAGGTGTAAGCCTGACACTACCTCTGCACTAAGTAATTTTAAGCAAAATTAGATACAGCTGCATTGTGGGGTTACTATGATATACAAGACTTATAAAGGATGCCCATTCTCAGATGTTGTGTAATACATATAAGTTAATGCTTCCTTGTGAATATAAGAATAATGAGATACTGTATACAGCACTTTACATGCCTAGAAGAAAAACTATGCTTATGTTTAGTTTTTCCTGCCCATTATAACGAAGGGTTTTTTCCCGTTACGTATACTTGAAACACAAGTTTAACATTAGTCTTGATTATAATTATAATAATAATCCATAACACAGGACAGTGTCCCTTTCATATATACTCCTTAACACAGGATGGTTCTCCTGATGTATTCCTTAATATAGGATAGTTTTTGTATACTCCATTGCTAGGATATTTTTTTTCCTGTTACAGTAACATATTTCTTCACATTGAATGGTTTCCTTTTCATACTTCATAAAAACTGTCTGAAGCAGACTTGAATGCCAATGCAGGAAGAGTGGCTTAGGTGATATTTATCATTTGTGAATAATAACTATTATTTTATATATAAGCAATATTACCAGCATTTTATATTTTTCAGATGGAATGATGTCTATACCATACATTAGGTAGTAGCTAGACACAACCAAGAAAAAAAGCCTGTGGTCTCCATGTACTTTTTAAGATAAAATGGTATGGTACTCTTATAATGTACATATATAAATTATGAGCAATTATATTAATTTTACCAAAGACATTGGTTTCAAGGACCCCAATGGAAATAAGTCTCACTGTCTGACTTTTTTGGGTTATCCTAGGTTCTCTACACATATGCTGCTATGTATGATAATTCTATGTAACTGTATTTGTGTATACCTGAATAAACTTACTTACTTACTTATTCAAAATCAGTTATGCACAGTTTCATAGCTAAAACATTATTCACTATTCTGATCAGATTATAATCTTTGTTTACTGATACGTTGAATCAACCTTAGCATTCAACCAATATCAACCTTGCATATGCAGTGTTTTTCATTTATTAGATTAAGTCCTAGTGATAAGGGATAATGTTAAAATACTTAATGCTCAGCATAATCAATGACTGTCCAGTAAGCTTGTAGTCCAAGTCATTTTTTTAACTATGTAATTTTTTTTTAAATAGAAGTTACTCATTTTTATTTTCAAATTTGGTTTAAAGATTGAAGGAAATGGTAAAATTTGCATTTACAATACATACTGTACAAACAAATATTATGCTGAACTTTTGCATTTTGCCAGAATTCAATCAGAAAAATTTTAATTTTATTTTGCTGACATTTTCTTCCGTAGGATTTGAAATCATTGCATAAGTTGGATGCATGGTCTCAGCACATACCACTGCCTCGTGTATTAGATCTGGCTGTTGAAGTGTTAGAGTTCTGCCGCAAGAAAAACGTCATATCGCCTAACCATTTGGAAGACATTCTTCCGCTTTTATCCTTTGCATTGCCCCATAATGCTAAGGGATGTTCCCAGCTTCTGCAATCTCTTACTATGTAAGCAAAATTAGAATTAAGCATTTAGAAATCTTTTGTTTGCTGAGTGTGGCACTATATTTTCACTCAAAATCTTTCAGACATCAGTTCATATTTATGTTCTTCATGTATGTTTATAGAAATTTGTATAACCTACTGTACTCTTTGTACTGTACTATATATTATAAAATTGTTAATATTAATATTGGTAATAATGTTGGTAGAATTACCAGTTTGCACTTGTGTCCTTTTACCTAAGTCTAATATTGGTGTTCCTAGTTGCTTTTAGTTTGTACACAAATATTTCAGAAAATCAGAACATGAAAATAAATATGTAGCCATTTTTTTGTATTATCATGACTCCAGTACAATCCCATATATGTACGTATTTGATTTGTAAATAAATATGTAGCGAGACAAAAGTCATGTAGATACCTACATAGTTACCGTAGTTAAGTGTACATGTCCAGTATACACAATTCTTTAACTTACCTTCAATTAATATTGTTTGTTTCCAGAAGCAGCTCAGTATGGGATAAGCTAGAACAAGGGTTGTCGAACAAGAAATTTCTCCCAATAGAAATTACAATCACACTCTACGAACAGTATCCCTCTTCACTTGAAAATGAGATGCTGCGTGTCCTCACTCAGTATGCAGAAGTTGTGTACACAGGTGATTGGTGCAAAGATGTGGTACTCAGCATTGCTCACTTTAACTCGCATCATAAATTTTCTGACATGGATCAGTCTCGTTACAAGAGTATGAAGAACCATTCTCCATTTGAAGCTCATCAGCAGAGAAATAAAATAAATTTCTGGGCAGAGTCTCCAGTGATAAATGCTGCAGCCCGTAGCAAATCTGTATTTTCCTCATGTTTAAAGCTTCTGTTTAAAATTGTTGTAGAGACAAGATATTCAATAAGTTCTGTATTTGGAAGTATGGACTATTTTGAAGAACTTAAAAGTAAAATGCACAGAGAATTGCATGAATACTTCCCTTCAGATATACAACATCTTGTATACCTGTTAACATTACCAGTAACCACGGGTCAAGGACTAAAATACTTTGAAAACTATTCTCAAGTATTAGTTGTTCAGAATTCCTTGTCAGAAGCTTTGCAAAGAGGTGATGTTACTACTATTCGTGTCTTACTGTGCTTCTTTCCTTATTGGCTGCCAATACTTGAACAAAACCAGTTTTTGGACAAATATGTAAGACAAGAGTGGTGTGAGCTTTCAAGTATTTCTTGATACATATACAGCAGGTTAGGTTCTGGGCTACCATTGTAAAGTGAAACAGCCTTTTTTTTTTTCAATTTGAAATGTATCTAAAAGCCTGATAACATGTTTACACTATCATATATTAAGTGAGCAGTAGAGCTAGGCCTAAAAAATGCACATACAGTACACACATTACTTCTTCTTTTAACAAACCAGCCATATCCCACCAAAGCAGGGTGGCCCCAAAAAAACGAAAGTTTCTCTTTTTAAATTTAGTAATTTATATAGGAGAAGGGGCTACTAGCCCCTTGCTCCTGGCATTTTAGTTGCCTCTTACAGCACACATGGCTTACAGAGGAAGAATTCTGTTCCACTTCCTTGTGGAGATAAGAGGAAATAAACAAGAAGAACGAGTAAGAAAATAGAAGAAAACCCAGAGGGGTGTGTATATATATGCTTGTACACGTTTAGTGTGACCTAAGTGTAAGTAGAAGTAGCAAGATGTACCTGAAATCTTGCATGTTTATGAAACAGAGAAAAGACACCAGCAATCCTTCCATCATGTAAAACAAGTATGTACAGGCTTCCGTTTACACACTTGGCAGGATGGTAGTACCTCCCTGGGCAGTTGCTATCTACCAACCTACTACCTAGACACATTACTTACCTTAAAATATTTTTGTACTTAGCTTATAATGAGTGATGAATATATTGTAGGTAGCCTTAATAAATGAAGAATGAGTATAATTGAAAAATCACTGTATTAGTGAAATGCTGTAAAGCTGGGGTCTATGCTTTTCAGTGTGCTGATTTGAAAAATTGCTAATTTTTATAGTACATATCAATACATAGTTACAAAATAAATTGTTTTCATCACATGTAATTTTTTTATATTAGATAATGGAACCTGTTTTCATGAATGTAAATTTATTATACTAAAAAATGTAATCGTTATGAAAATAATCATACCTAAGGAGGCCTGGTCACAGACCGGGCCCCGGGGGGGGGCGTGACCCCGAAACTCTTCCAGGTAAACTCCAGTTAAAGAATCCATACATCTCAGAGGACATTATCACACTGTAAATACTACACCGTAACACAAAATAGACATTGGAAGACATTTTTTTTTCTGTTGTTGGATCCTCAAAAACAGTCCCCCTGTAATAGGGCCCCTATGGCTTTGTCCATTTTCTGATACCTTTCCTCTGTGGTTACTGTGGATGTCCTGATGAAAAGTTCCATGCCCAAATTTACTCAATCCACAAATTTGGTTTAAGAAATAAATAAATATACAAGTATGATGTAGCCGTAAGAAAGTAAATTTTATTAGATTTTGTATTGGTGGATAAAAGGTTGAGGGGAGGTTCAGGATGTCATGTTTATAGAGGGGCAACTGATTTTTATCGGATCATTATTTGTTTTAGCTACAGTTAAGTAAGAGGTAGATGGAAAAGAGGAGGTGAAAGTGTATAAACTAAGGGAGGAGAATTGGGTAGAAAATTTAACGACTATTGCAGAAGGGGCTAGTGAAATGAGTATGGGGGGTTGAAGACGTTGAAATAGTTTTAAAATGCAGTATTAAATGGGGCAAAAAGTTTTTGGTATAGGAGGGTGGGGGCAGGTGGGAAAAAGGATGATTGTGGAATGATGAAGTAAAAGGGTGTGAAAAAGAAAAAAGGTAGTTATGGAGGGTTTTTACAAAGCAGAAGGTTTTAAGAAGGCAGAAAATGGAGAGTAAAGAAAGGTAAAGAGAGTGGGAGGAGTGCAAAGGAGAGCAGATGATAGAGTGGGAGGCACTGTCAAAAAATTTTAATGAAAATAAAGGAAAAATTTTGGAGTGAGTTAACAAGTTAAGAAAGCCTGGGAAAGTATGGATTTGGCAGTTAAAAAAAGATAGGGAGTTTGTAATGGGAATGAGGTATGGTAGATGGGAGAATATTTGGGAACTTTTAAATGTAAGGAAGAAAGAGAGGCAGTAATTTGAAAGCATGGTCAGGGAGGTATACCATCATTTAGGAGTGAAAAAGAGCAGAATGTAAGTGTGGGGAGGTTTCGTGAGGCATTACGTAGAAGAAGGGATAAAGCAGCTGGAACTGTGGGGTCATGACAGAAATGTTAAAAGCAGGGGGGGATAAGTGTTGAGTGGTTGGTTCTTTTGTTAATAATGTATGAAAGTGGGAAGGTACCTAGGGATGGCAGAGGCGTATAATCCTTTTGTAAAGGAAAGGGGACAAAAGAGATGTAAATTATAGAGGAATAAGTTTTCTGAGTAACCAGGAAAGTTACGGTAGGGGTAAAATTTAAAAATTAGAGGGAAGACAGAAGTAGGATTGCTGATGAGCAAGGAGGTTTCAGAGTGGGTAGGGGATGTGTGATCAATGTTTACATTGAAGCTATAGTGAACAGTATTTGATAAGGTAGGAAGTTTTTAATGCTTTAAGGATTAGAAAAGGCATAATAGAGGGATAGATGAGCATGTGGCAGAGTTGCAAGTATTGGAATAGGGGAAGGGTTTAATTAAAGAGTAAAGAGTTTATGAGGATAGTGAGGCTCAGGTTAGGGTGGTAAGTGAGGGAGTTTTCTCCCCTAAAGTAGCTTAGACAGGGATGTGTAATGTCACCATGGTTGTTTAATATATTTAAGATGGGGTTGAAAAGGAAGTAATGCTAGGGTGTTCAGGAGAGGGGGGATTAATTTTGGGATCAAATTCAAAAGGGATTGACCAGTACTTTTGTGATGATGCGTCCTATGGAGATTCTAAAGAAAAATATGCAAAGGTTAGTGGTGAGTTGGGAAGGGTTTGTGTAAAGGTAGAAAAGTTGAAGTGAACATGAAAAGAGTAAGGTGATGGGGTATCAAATGATTTAGAAAAAAATTGGAATAAATTGGGGAGGAGGAGTAAGGGAAAGGAATGTTTTCAGATATTGGGTTTACATGTGCGGGAGGTTTATTTAAGGATAGGTTAAATGAATTGATGAGGGAAAAAAGGGGAGTGGTGGTTTAGGTATATGTGGAGTCAAAAAACGTTTTATGGGGGCAAAGGGGAAAGTTGAAGTATGTATAGTTATATGGGTGGAAACTTGGGGTAAATGCCAGCGGGACGTTGTGAGGCAGTGGATGTCCTGTTAAGGCAATTGTGGGTGTAATGCAGAAATTTAGAGTGTGAAAATTTGGAAAGGGTGGAGTTATAAAAGTATTAGTCAGAGGGAGAGAGGGGTTGAGGTGTTTGGTCATTAGAGAGAATGGATCAAATGTAGAATGCAGGAAAGCAAAAAATCTATAGGGAAGGAAAAGGGGGGTAGGGGTCGTCCTCAAAAGGGTTGGAGAGAGGGGGTAAAGGAGTTTTGTGGGCAAGGGGCTTGGACTTCCAGCAAGCGTGCATGGTGTGTTTTGATAGGAGTGAAAGGAGACGAATGGTACTTGGACCTGACATCTTTGGGTGTACAGGGTAATTAATGAAGGGATTCAGGAAACCCGTTATTTTCAAAAAGTCCTTAGTCCTGGAAATGGGAAGTACAGTGCCTGCACTTTAAAGGAGGGGTTTGGGATATTGGCAGTTTGGAGGGATATGTTGTGTATCTTTATATGTGTATGCTTCTAAACTGTTGTATTCTGAGCACCTCTGCAAAAACAGTGATAATGTGTGAGTGTGGTGAAAGTGTTGAATGATGAAAGTATTTTCTTTTTGGGGATTTTTTTTCTTTTTTTGGGTCACCCTGCCTCGGTGGGAGACGGCCGACTTGTTGAAAAAAAAAAAAGTGTGAGTGTAAATAGTGTAGTCTGGAGATATTTTACAAATCTTCAACAAGGTTTTTCTACTTTTGTTACCCAGAAACCCATGCACTACAAGCTGAAATGCCTGTCAGACACATTTTTCAGCAGCATTCATTTTGTCGTACCAGTAGTAGTTGTCTTCATCTGCCTATTTGTGGTTCAACAGATAAGATTATAGACAGATATCTTGCAGTTAGGATCCAGTAAATTCCACTCTGAAATAATGTCAAAAACCTCTCCATTATATTTGGTAAAATGCAAGTCTGTAACTAAATCATCTAATTTTTGCTTACATGGGAAATGTGGAAATTCACCCTTTTCAGAAGGTAGGATCTCAGTTCCGATGTCCTGAAGAAAGTAACAAAAAAAGGCAGAATACCGTGACTGGAACGATACACAAATAACCCGCACATAAAAGAGAGAAGCTTATGACGACGTTTCGGTCCGACCTGGACCATTTACAAAGTCAGTGTGACTTTGTAAGTGGTCCAAGTCGGACCGAAACGTCGTCGTAAGCTTCTCTCTTTTATGTGCGGGTTATTTGTGTATTCTGAAGAAAGTGAACTGAAAACTGATAAGTCTTCATTGTGAGGCATTGAGGCAGTAGATGATGATGTTTGAATGTACAATATTTCTTGTACCTTTACCCTTTGTTGTAATAGCCATTACAGGGGATGGGACTGTTGGCACTCTCCAAATTCAAGGAATGATTTCTACAGGTTTAATGCTTTCTTTAGATATAAAAATGTGCTTCTAGAAATTGAAGCTGAAATCCACCATTGGTGAGTGGATGAAGAAAATATGGGAAGCTCATCGCTGGGTCATGCATCATGATCTACCAGGTTTGCTGCCATACTTGTAGTCAATGGGTTTTGGTTTGTAGTTCCCTTTTGCTGATCGCAGACTGTAAATTGTAAGCTCAAGGAGTGCCAGGTGAGTAAGATGAAGCTAGGCCTCCAGTGGTATATGACAGAAAAGCATATTTGGCTAGATTATAGCAGACATGTGGGTTTAGCACTTGCTTTTTAGTGCTGTATAATAATAATAAAAAAGCTACAGCATCCAAGCTATGATCATGGTGTCCCGTCTTTAATGTTAAACTTACGCAGTGCAGAAATTAGTGAGTAAATCCTCACCTGACTCGACTTGGACTCGTAATGATGATGGTGTGGAATTAGCCTACTCCAGTGATGTAGAAGTACTGGTTTATCAGTGTGGTCCACATGAAGACCACTGTGGCTCTTGAAGACTATCATTATGGCCCCTCCACCCTTCCGGGGAGCTTCCTTGAGATTAGAGGAACTCCTGACCCAAGGAATTTAATTTCTAGCCTCAAAGCAAATCTGATTTTCCTCCCATTCTCAAGGTGCATATAACCCCAATAGGTCTAGCAATCTTCAAAATGTAATATGCAAAAAAATAATAATAATAATAATGGTAAGGTTATATAATGTAGTCCTCTCAAAGAATAAATAGTCACAGTCCAGTGACTGAATAATACCAAATAAACTGCAAGTAGGCACCCCCTACCTGTGGATTGTGAATATGGTCCTTCCAAGACTAGTGATGACTAGTCCCCTATCAAGATCACCACTATGGGTTAACGAAAATCACCACTATGGTCCCACCATAAAAAAAATAGTATGGTCCCTCCAAGACCACTAGTATGGCCCATCAAGACCACTAGTCTCTCCAAGAATACTGTTTAGTCCCTAATTATGACCACTATTTTTCCAAACCAAGACCATGATACAAATACGCTGTATAGCCCTTGTGGCTTAGAGCTTCTTTTTGATTATAATAATAATAAAATAATAATGATACAAATACAAATTTCTTTCTTTTCTGCAGTATACAGATAATGAAACTTTACATGTAACAAAATACGTATTGTTGGGCATGAAAGAAAGCCAATAGCATGCTGCTTATTCAGGCAGACCACTATGGTCCCACCAAAACCACTGCTATGGTTTTCACCATCAAACCACTACTATGGTCCCACCATCAGAACTCCCACTATGGTACCACCACAAAGATCCTATGGCCCTCGTGGCTTAGCGCTTCTTTTTGATTATAAAAATTTTTAATGGTCCCTCCAGTAC